GAGCCTCGATGGAAGGCGTTCGGGTGCGGTAGCGACAGCAGGCTGAGGCCGGTCCTTGTCCCCTCTGCAGTATCGGAGAGCTATGACGCTGAAGACATTTGCAGTCGTCGTGGCCCAGCTGCTGGGGCTCAGCCTGGGGATGGCGTACGGTGATCCCGGGAGCTGTCACTGTGCAGAAGTCGCCTGCATAGTGCAGAGCAGCTCGATGTGAGGCTCCCCCGGTCCCCTCGGCATGTGGGTGGATTTCGGTGTGACGGCACAAGTGGGACACGCTCCCGCCGGGTGTGCGTGGTGCCCATCTGTGTGACGTTGCCTGCAAAGGGCAGAGCAGGGGACGTCTTCAGGAGCGGGCAGCGGGCAGCTCCTGGTGATACCCACAGCGGAGAGAAGCTGCCCTGCGTTACCGATGTCTTCAGTGGGTGGGAACGGCCACACAGCCCCAAATGCGGACTGTGGTAACAGCAGCCCTGACTTGCAGACACTTCCCTGGCATGAAAGCCTTCAGCAGCTGCAGTGTAAGAGACTTTCAGCGTTTTCTGGCCGCTGGGAGAGGGCAGTGCCTGTTGAACAGGCCAGCTATGGATGCAGCATATAAAACTCCCGTGTGCGGCAACAAAATAGTGGAGCCGGGAGAGGCTTGTGACTGCGGTACAGCAGAGGTTAGCTGTGGAGCCTTGGTACGGTGGGAAAGAGCCAAGCCCTGTGTCCTGGAGAGGGGAAGAACAATCCCAAGAGAGGTGTGAATTGCTCCTGTACCCTCTAGACCTCCGTGGAGGGCAGAGGCTTTATGAAACCCTAAAACCACGCAGACATTTGGCTATGGTTGCCACCATGTCCGAAGCGGCCGTCATAGAGGGCCGTTGTGTAGTGTTGGTAACGGATGGAGGGAGGGAGTTTGTAAGCGATTGTAGCTGTAAAGAGGGGCTGTCCCAGCCCCTCCACTGCAGGGACACAACCCAAAATGTGCTGGGAGGATTACCCTAGGGCCCTGCCAAGGTGTCCAGCAGCAGGTACCACTTGGGAAGTGGTTTTCAACACTGAAGTGGCACGTGGTGATGTTGTGGGGAAAAACTCTGTGACTGCAGCCTGCCAAAAAGGCAGGGGTGCTGTACCGGTCGTGTGGTTTGCTGGCCAGGGCATAGGCAGAGGTGGAGGCAGCAGGGAAGGTGTGGTAGAGGAGCGGTACTCCTGGTGCAGAGGAGAAACTGGTGAGCAGCAGATGAACTCCTCTGTCTTGCTAGAAGCCCCTTGGTTCTAGCAACCTTGGTGCATGCACATTTGCAAGCAATCTCGGTCCCTGCAAGTGCTGCGAGCCCCGGCAGTGGCTTTCCCAACGCCTCAGGCACATGTGGTTGTGACGATGGAAAATACGGAGCATGGATGGCTGGCAGCAACAAGCGTGGCAGAGAGCTCTGCCTGGGGACCCTGGGCATAAGCATCCACCAGAGAGCCTGGGAGATGGCTGCCTCGGATGGCAGGGGCTGCCGGAGGGAAAGGCCAGGCTCTCTGGCTTGTTCCTTCATTGTCCTTGGGAGAAGCAGAACCTCACCTGGCTGTCCCCACTCGTCACCCCAGGAATGTCAGCGTGATTCATGCTGCACCGTTGGCTGCAAGACGAGGCGACGGGTGCAGTGCTTGTCAGGACCGTGCTGCCACAAATGCCAGGTAAGCTGTGGGGTGGGAGTGGGCCCGCTGTATTCCCTGGGGATAGCCCCTGTGCCAGCATCGCTCACTTCTGTGCCTGACGTGAAGCGGGAATGTAATGGGGGAAAAAGGGGACTGGTTGGTGCGCTGATGTGGATGGTCAGCGAGTGTTGGAAAGTGAAGTGGGTGCTGTCAAGTGCTGGTGCCAGTTAGATGCCTGTGTCCCAGGAAGGTGTTTTTAGGCCATGGGTACTGTGCCTGCTCCCAAAATACTGAAGCGAAGGAGATGCTGATTTTATGGCCACGTAGGAGGCTTGTAGCAGCGTCTGCCCATTTGGTCTTCCCAGCTGGGCAGCGCGGGGTGACTGGTCTGGACCGGACAGGGCTGGGTGACTCCTGTCAGCGGTGGCATCTCTGCCCTCTTGCCAAGAGCCATACAGGCTGCAGGGGAGGGCAACGGGGTGGCAAGAGCTGGAGCAAAGGCAGGGCGAGCAGAAATCAGCACGCGAGAGTCAAGCCGTGTTGGGCTGTGCGGGTGCCTACGGTCTTGTGGTGTGGAGGAGTTTGGGGGGGCTGCAGCTGGAGCTGGGGCTCCAAAGTACCGGCAGCTTTGGTTTTGCAAATGTACGGAGAGAAAAGAGTGCAGTGTGGTCAGGAGCCAGAGGAGCTGAGACTTCTCTTTCTGAGGGAGAGCCACCATAGTGTCTGGAAGGTATTTACTCTTCATGTTGTGCAGATCAGGCCAGCCGGTGTTACCGTGGGAGAAGCGCTGGGGATCCTTTTGTTTGTGTTGCTGGCTGATGCAGTTGTTGAAAATGGCAGATAGAGCGGCTGGTCTGAAATCTCTCCCTTACGGGCCTTGATTCCAGGCAGCTGGAAACTGCGTGGTGGAAGCAGCGGGGTGGTGGTTGGCAGCAGGCTCAGTACGAGCCAGCAGTGTGCCTGAAGTGGTCAGGCACTTGGATGAGATGGTCGGTGTAGGTCCTTTCCAACTAGAAAGTATTCTTCCCCTCCTCCTCTTCCTTCCTTCCTTCCTCCTCTTCCTTCCTTCCTTCCTCCTCTTCCTTCCTTCCTTCCTCCTCTTCCTTCCTTCCTTCCTCCTCTTCCTTCCTTCCTTCCTCCTCTTCCTTCCTTCCTTCCCTTTCTTCCTTCCTTCCTTCCTCCTCTTCCTTCCTTCCTTCCTCCTCTTCCTTCCTTCCTTCCTCCTCTTCCTTCCTTCCTTCCTCCTCTTCCTTCCTTCCTTCCTCCTCCTCTCCCAATTCTGTGGTACTCTGTTCTACTGAAATTCTATTCTAATCTCATCTATTTTCTCTCCTCTAGTTTGTGAAGAGAGGCACGTTATGTAGAAGCAGCTCCAAGGACGAGTGCGAGTTGAAGGAATATTGCAACGGCACCTCTGGGAAGTGCACACCCGACCTCTGGGTCATGGATGGGCATCCCTGCAGCAGGAACACTGCCCTCTGCTACCGGGGAGTCTGCCAGACAGCCGACAAGCAGTGTCAGAAGGTCTTCGGCCAAGGTAAGGGCGATGGATTGCAGGAGTGGGGGTGGCTGTTGTGTGGGAAATGCAAAGACCTGGAAGGGGAGCGGCTGAGGGAGCTGGGGGTGTTCAGCCTGAAGAAGAGGAGGCTGAGGGGAGACCTGATCACTCTCTACAATGACCTGAAAGGAGGGGGTAGCCAGGTGGGGGTCAGTCTCTTCTCCCGGGCAACTCATGACAGGACAAGGGGGCATTGTCTGAAACTGCGCCAGGGGAAGTTCAGGCTAGAAATGAGGAGGGATTTCTTGACAGAAAGGGTGGTTAGGCATTGGGATGGGCTGCCCAGGGAGGTGGTGGAGTCCCCATCCCTGGAGGTGTTTAAGAAAAGTCTGGAGGTGGCACTTAGTGCCGTGGTCTGGTTGACATGGGGGTGTTAGGGCAAAGGGTGGACTTGATGATCCCAGAGGTCTCTTCCAACCCAATCGATTCTGTGATTGAAGTGGGAAACCTTGGCAGCCCAACCTGTGTGTGCATGTGAAAAGGGACAGGAGGTGTGGAGGAAAGGGAAGAAACATGTTGGGCTGTCTGTCCATTGGCGTGCTGCTGCGACACAGGGTGATCTGAGGGTGTTTGTAAGGGACCAAGTCCCCGTAGCCGGAGTGGAGGTGTCAGTGAGAGAAGAGATCTCATGGAAGTTGGTCCAAGCTGGGTGAAAGAGCAAGCGGCCAAGGGGCTGGTGGAAAAACCCATGAGTGCACCACGGGAAGGGTGTCCAGGGACAAGGGTGGGCAGCAGGCCTGGCTGTGACTGGTGTAAGTGAAGTTGGGGTGGCACAGTGCATCTGCTAGGAGACACGGGGCTGCTTTGGCGGTGTGCTGTTGGGTACGATGCACTCGTGAGTGTCCTGAGCATCTGCAGAAATGGCTCGCAATGAGCATCTGCCCTCGTGACCGTGGGGTGAGATGTGCACGTGATGTGTTGCAGCATTGATGCTGTTCCAGGGAGGCTGGCAATGGAGGAGCAGTGTGTGGTTGGAAGTGGCGGAGGGAGCAGTCAGTGGGGGACACTGCCATGTAGAATGAGGCTGGCTAGCTGTGAGCGCTATCCTTTCCAGCCAGGTGGATGGTCTTGTTCTCTGGGATGTAACTCCCAGAAATGTCCCAGAAAGTCTTGTGGCTGTCCCGGGGGGAGCCTGGTGTGGAGCTGATGGGCACGCAAGGGTGCAGAAGGGAGGCAGCTGGTGCATCCCAATGTGGCAGGCTGTAGGGACAGTAGTGAGGGCGAGCAGGCTGGGTCTGGGCTCCACAGCCGTGGCTCCAAATGCCTTTGAGTGCACAGGCAACCCCGGACATCACTGGGTAGCGTGTGGCCTAAGTGGTGATGCCCAAACCCGAGGTGGAGAGAGGCTGTGGGCCAGACTGTGAGTGGTGTTATGTGTTTGCAGGTGCCAAGAACGGGCCCTTGCCCTGCTACAAAGAAATTAACAGCCAAAGGGACAGAATGGGACACTGTGGCTCCGATCGCTACGGTTTCCAGCATTGTCCATGGAAGTAAGTGCTTGTAGCAAGGATACCGGGGTGTTCTGGCCGCAGTGTGGTCTGCCATGGAGTGGAGATCCCAGCCCCACGGTGGGGAAGAGGTGGAGCACAGATGGGCTCCCCAAGCTCATGGGGTGAACGATGGCACCCTCTGTGATGACCACAAGGTAAGCGATCCCCTGACGTGTAGCACCTCCCTTGGGAGAAGAAGGACTTGTGGAAAGTATTGCTGCGGTAGCAGCGTCGGGGCCCAGAGGGCAGCGGTTTTTCTGTCGGCTCCATCCTGAGGGAGTTGGGATGGATGTATGGATGGCGCGACCCCCTTCAGACTGGGCCCGGCACAAAGCCTGATGTTCCCTTGTGAATTCCCAAAAGATCTGCACCTTTCCTGAGTTGGAGCTGGGTGATCCAAGGTTGCCTGTGTGCTTGTGCTATAGATCTGCCTGAACCAACAGTGTGTGCCTGCCGCTGTTCTGAACTATAAATGTGAGATGAAGACAAAGTGCCACAATCACAGTGTAAGTCATGGTCGTCGTTGTTTGTGGTTTGTTCAACATTCTGGAGACATGGCTTGCAAAAGTGGTGTCTTGGGTCATATTTGTGAGGAAAAGCAGCCGAGGGGGTCTTGGCTGTGGAAGTACCAGACTGTCTCTCAAGGCTGTATGCGTAGTGCCTCCAGCAGAGCTCCCTCATGGAGCCAAGCAGCTCCTCGTTGTAAATCAGCCAAACGGAAAGGGTCTGAGCCTGCCGGGAGGCTGGAAGAAGCGATAAAGATGGGGAGAAGGCAGCGCACTGGGAGGTGACAGCCAACACTGACCAAGGCAAAGGGCCAGCTGTGCGAACCCCGGGCGAGTTGCATGTGGGGAGGTTTTGCCTGGTGCAAGGTGCCCTGACATCTGTGCCCGGTGTCTGGCGAGTGAGGACGTTTGGGCATGATCCCTCTGCAGCTGGCTGTAAATCCTGTCTCTCCCTGTCCGTCACGCAGATCTGCAATAACCAAGGGAGCTGCCATTGCCATCCTGGCTGGAAACCACCGACTTGCCAGGAGAAAGCAAGGGCGATGGGTGACAGCGGCAGCAGCCCATCTGATGGTGAGTGGTGAGGGCATTGGCTGCTCAGGGTGAGGGTTCTCATGGGAAGAGATGGTTCTGGGGCCAGGGTGATGGATTCCTGTTCTGTCGGTGGCTTGGCAGAGCAGGACCGTGTAGACAAGCATCTGGGTCCCATGGCGTGTCCCAGGGTGAACTCAAGGAGTTTGTTTTGTTTCCTGTGCCTAGATGAAGCAGATGTTGGGAACGAGGGCTCGCCAAAGCTGTGGCTGCTTCTGACCTTCTGCCTCTTTGTGCCTGTTGCCATCGGGCTTGTTCTCCTGGCGATAAGAAGAGGCCCAAGGTGCTGTCTCGCCATGGAGGAGCTGGATGAAGGCAAGTGAGCTTGTTCTCTGCACCAAATGTTGTCGAGGTGATGGTGAGTAAGTGGCACGGAGGTGGCCGTAGGCAGCAGGAAAGCTGGAGCCCGGACAAGGACTCTCGCCGGGCAGCACGCCCGAGGCACTAAGAGGAAGCGGGAGCGATGGTCGATGAAGGGATGAGGCGGTGCCACCACGGGGCTGGCGGTGATGCTGGGAGGAGGGTTTTTACTCCTTGCATCTTTAGGCAGCTCTGTGACTGACAGGAGCTGCCTTCCTGATCCCACTCTAGGTTGGAAGATAGGGACTGTGTGGGTGATGAAAGGAATGTGTCGGACGTGTAGCGGTGCAGCAGGGAAGGACGTTGAAATGTAAGTCATTGCCCAAGTGGCTGACTCGTGGGGCTTTTTTTGTGCTGGGCTTGTATGGAGGTGACAGTGGAGCTGGGAGTGGAAATAGGGGAGAGGGAGCTGTTTTCTGTGCCTTGATGTTGGCAGGGAAGCAGCCTTAGTGGGAGCGTTGGTCTGGGGGGTCCGGGCACTGCAGGCAGCGTGGTTACTGGAGTCATGGGTGGGCAGCAGCAGGGTTTCTGTGGCACGTTGGCTTCCAGGTGCCTGCAGATATGGCCGGGAGAGCAGGTGGTCAGGAGGTGACAGCTGGCCAAATGTCCTGCGATGTGTCAGCATAGGTGGTGGTGGTTTAGCCTGAGCTCTGAGCAGTGAAGCTTAGGAGGTGCTGGCTGGGAGAAGGAGTGTGATAGGAAAGCAGGGTGGAGCAGAGTGACCTGGAATAGTGCAATTAGTTGGAAGGGACCTGTGATGGTTGTTTAGTGCAGCTGCTGTAGTTGTTGCAGCTTGTGGGACAAGTCGGTGTAACAGCAGGCAGCATGATACACCGGTGTGTGTCCCAGCAGGGCCACGTAGAGGCCAGTGGTGGCTGGCCAAGGGCATGCGAGAGTTAGGTGCCATGACCAGGGTCGGTCTCGGGAAGGGTGTTCCCCAGGGCTCAGTACTGGGGCCAGTTCTGTTTAATATCTTTATCAGTGATCTGGACGAGGGGATCAAGTGCATCCTCCATCAGTTTGCAGATGACACCAAACTGGGTGGGAATGTTGATCTGCTGGAGGGTGGGAAGGCTCCACAGAGGGATCTGGACAGGGTGGATCGATGGGCTGAGACCAACTGCATGAGGTTCAACAAGACCAAGTGCCGGGTCCTGCACTTGGGTCACAACAACCCCATGCAACGCTACAGGCTGGGGGAAGAGTGGCTGGAAAGCTGCCTGGTGGAGAAAGACCTGGGGGTGTTGGTCAACAGCCGGTTGAACATGAGCCAGCAGTGTGCCCAGGTGGCCAAGAAGGCCAACAGCATCCTGGCCTGTATCAGAAACAGTGTGGCCAGCCG